AAATCCATATGTACGAATGCACATCAGGGTGACATTGGTGTCACCAGGGGTAAGGGCCTTGCCAAGACCAACAAGATCAACCCATCCCTTGATGCCGCACAATTTGCACAATATTAAAAGTAAAAAAAAAAGAACCAAAATAAGCTAAAAACTCTTAATTTCTTGTGTACTAAGGCAACGGGGCTCCAGAAAACTTACCGTGTACGCCATGTTGCAGGAATCTCCTGTGGGCAACTTGTGATCTTTTAAGCCAAGCTTCGCAGCCAACTTGCTCTCTTCTTTGCAACTTTGGTAGCGTACCTGCAAAACAGATCATGATTAAGTACATACTTTCAAGAGAATACTTAAATCGCCAAATACATATACGACACTTAACTTGGCACTTATTTTCAGTTAGACATCTTAACTTGATGTCTAACCTATTGAACACTTATCGGTGTAAATGAAAATTAGTGCCATATAAGGGTTCATCCATGTAGTTTGGCATACTTAAACTAAACTGAATGAAGTCATACCTTAAAGTAGTAAGAAACAGTCTTGTCATCTGGACCATCTAGAGGCTCCAACCGGTCAATGTTATGTAGGCTTGCTTGGAGTTTGAAAAAGTATAATCCTGCCATTCTATCAAATGAAGAAACGGAGAAACCATTAAACGTATAAGAGCATTTTTAATTTCTAGATAGTATAGCTATAGGTAATACGCTGGGCTGGTGGACCCAAATAGCTTCATGCTAGCTTTTTCCTAAATGTAATGGAAGGTTATACATGATGGATTTTATGAATGATTTATACTATTATGAACACCTTGAGAATAGTTAATTGCTTTTCATAATTGTGATACATGAAAAAACATATTAGATGCAGAGGACACTAAGGACTTTCTTCCATAAATAGCTATCTATGAGAATGAGATGGGCCTTAATTAAGTTCAGCTAAAAAAGACACTTTGCCAAAAATAATTAAAAAAACTTCCATTGGAGGCCATTGCACGTTAAAGCCCAATAGCAGAGCATCCCGGTGAAATTCAAAAACAGCAAGATTTACAAATGGTCATTGAAAAATAGCAACAGTTTCAAAAGTAATCGAAATTTAGCACTTTTCACGTTAGGATAAATCTGAACGAAAACACTGTTCAAAATCCGGAAAATATTCCAGCATAATATACTGGAGTTCGAATTTTTTACATGTGAACTTCCAGCATAATATACTGGAGTTCCAGCATAATATACTAGTCCAGCATAATATGCTAAAAGTTCATACACAATGCTCCAATATCCAGTATATTATGCTGGAACTTTCCGTGTGCTGGAGTTCCAGCATAATATGCTGGAATTTCATACACAGGTGCATGCTGGAACTTTCTGTATTGCAGCAAAATAGTGGCTATTTTCTAATAATTTTGCAAACGCTGGCTATTTCTCAATCAATCCAAAAACTGGTTAGCCCATGCTATTTTCACGAGCATCCCGCCCTCCCTCTACCAGCCTCCTTGAAGTCAGATTAACACAAGCCCAGACTTGATGGATCGGACCCAATCCTTTTTTCTTATCCGGATTATGTTGTAACTTGTAAATAGAAATAGGAGTTTATTTTTTTTATTTCATTGAAGTATGAAGCAATGGAGAGATAGAGGAAACCTCTTTGAAAATCAGGAAAACCTTAGTTATGTTAGCCCGACGATATCTTTACGAGCCTGAAAAACCTTAGTTCTATTATCCTGACAATACCTCCCTACACTATTTCTTTTAGTTTTGTATTTTTCTGTAGGATGACCGCTCAGAGAATATTAATCTAGTTAATGGGATATATGAGGGTGAATCTCCATGGTACGAAATATCAAGTGAGCGACATAACCATTTCTTTAGTCCAAGTATGTTGTTTCTTCATCATGTTGAACGTAACATTCTACCCCTATCTTCATTTCTGGCTCCAAGTTACTATTTTTTTTCTTGTTGATTCGAGGAATTTTGAGCATATTATAATGACCCTTGATTATCATTAGATTTCTGAGAATCAAGAGAACCACTTTGCTTGATTTGAATCGAGGACCTGATGACACCTATTTGGCTGGTAGCCTAGATGCTTAGGCCCAGGGCAGGGGGCCTATTTCTCAGTTTTATTTAATATTTAAGTTGTTATATTCTTTGCAATATTGTTATGTGGTAGGCTTACCTAGTCTCTAAGACTAGGTGTCATCACGACTTTTAAGGTGAGATTTTGGATCGTGACAAGTTGGTATTAGTGAGAGAGTCATATGGCTTATACAAGGAATCAACAACAAAGTTGTATTCTTGATCATTCTCAGATTCTGAGGCATAACTGTAGGAAGTAGAAATAGGTAATTCCAGAACTATGAGAAGTTGAATCTAGTGAACTGGTTTTAGTCCAAAATTTGAGGCTGTATGGATTACACAAGAGTTGGAAATATCATTCCTTTCACCCAAAATTTTCTTTCTAATTGGAACTGAAGCCTTTGAAGCTGCATATATGGTATGTGACATGATGTTCCTAGTCATGGGTTTCTTGTCAAATGGTTGCTCATTCCCATTAGTTTCTCTTGACTTCATTAACCCAAAAAACCAAAAATGAATTTCTCCTAATTTCAGAAACCATTTTATCTTTCTTGAAATTTAAAACTAATCTGCTTCATTTTATCATTCTTGTGTACTGTGGATGTAGTTAGTGTTTTATTTTGTACTTGAGGTTTTCTATTTTCCAAAAGCGATAGTTTCATGGAAATAAAACTAATTCACATTATTTTATCATCTTGCAGGGATAGAAAGTCCGTCCCAAGGCTGAACTGGGAGCATTATATGCATATTGTTAGGGAGGTTCAGTTTGGCCAAAAAGTCCATAGTCTTCAATCGTCTCTATTTTGCTGCTTACTCTTGTTCAGTACTACTTGTTTTTGTCTTGAATGAAATCCAATTTTCTCATACCGATGAACAGTGAAAACTGTTGTCTGTAGTTAAATCTGACAACTTCTCATATCGGATGAATTCTGCTTCTTGGGTGCTGGTTGGTTTCTCGATGAGTGATAATTTATGTTACTTTGATAACGTGAATTTTTTACTTTTTGTTTATTCATAATATTGTTGATAACATTGATTTTGGTCAAGAATTACCGTTGTTTCAATTTTTATGTATTTTAATTTAATTTATTTTCAATTGTCATATATTTCCAATTAAATGTATTTTCAATTTTCAGTTTTCAATTTTAGCAACATCTAATATTTTATAGTCGCACCTTTCAATTTTAGCAACATCTAATATTTTATATTTGCACCATTAATTTTTTGAGATGATTATATATTTTTTGTACAATTATAACTTATAATAAAATTAACTTATAATTTTACATAAAAATAATAAATGCACAAAAATTAATTTATCAAAATTATACGCCAAAGTTAAGATGTAAAATATTAATATTATAAAGATATTGCATAAACATAATTAGGTATATATAAAGAGATAAATTAAAAGATTAAATAATAAAATATACATGAATAGTAATGGGGGAGATGAATAGTGTACCCCCATATTTAGGGGTGTCAATGGTTCGGTTCAGCCGGTTAAATTATAAAATTTATACCATACCAATTTTTCGATTATTCTATTATGTATAACCAAAATTAGACTTTTCGAAATCGTCCCGATCATGTCGGTTTCACTTCGGTATCGGTACGGTTCGGTTAATTTTCGGTATTTTTTTAAATGTCATGTAAAATTCACCAGTAAAAATAGAATGCAATAACATACATTCTTTTATAGGACTTAACAAAACTCTCTAGACATTTTTACTGTTTAAAGGATAATGAATTAAAAAACATGAAAGATGGCTAGAGTATAGATATACAACAATTCGACAGCAACGTAAAAGAAACCAAGTAAAAGCAAAGAAAATATAAATCACACGAGTGGAAAGATATTAACCAAGTTGGGACTCAAGAATAAAGTCTATATTAAATATTCAAAAAGATAAATCAAAATTATATGAAAGGAAACATATTCAATACATTGTAGTTTGCTACTCATAATTGCTAGAATACTTTGTGTCTTGCTAATAAAGATACTTGAAATAGCTTAGTTTAAGTATGAGTAACATAATAGGCTTTAGGAATTAGTATTTTAAGTTTAATTACTTATTGGCTTGTAACAATTTTCATAATTCCAAGGCCCAATGAAAAATTTAATGCTTTATTAGTTTTAAACTTACTATATAAATATATTTTTCACATGTAAAATTTATTCGGTACGGTTCGGTATTTTTTCGGTTTATTTTTATAAAATAAAAAACCTACCCTAATTATCGGTACGGTTATAAATTTATATAAAAACCTACGGTTTCTTCAAAAGAAACCTAAAAATCGGTTCGGTGCGGTACCGTTCGGTCGGTTTAGACGGTTTTTAAATATCCATTGACACCTCTACCCATATTTGAGGGAACACTATTCATTCCCCATTTTGGGGGCAAAAATGGGGGAGGGTTGGAGCTTCATTACCCCAAAAATTGCCCCCATTATGGGAAAATGGGGTAAGGTTGGAGATGGCCTTACAAGGGCTAAAAAGTACTCCCTCTGTTCAAGTTTATGCGAATCTATTTTCTTTTTGGTCCGTTTCAAAAAGAGTGACCCCTTTCTAAATTTGATAACAATTTAGCTTAAACTTACAATTCTACCCTTAATGAGAAGTTTTTATAACCACACAAATACTCTAGGGCCCTTTTTGACTTACTTAAGACCACAAATTTCAAAAGTATTTATTTTTTCTCAATCTCCGTGCCTAGTCAAACAGATTCACGTAAATTGGGACGGAGGGAGTAGTTATTTATGAATTTTCTGCGTATTAATTATATGTAACCGAAAAAAAAGAACCGGGCCTAATAGAATCATGGGTCTGCCGGGGGTCTAAATTTTGTCACTCAATTACTGCACGCTCCATCTATGGCGCGTGATGGGAACGGTTAATTCCCAGGAATCCGTTGAGAACAAATAAAAAAAATTCTCAGGAATCCCCAGAACAGGAAAAGCACCAAACAATAAGCACAAAGTGAGAGTAGAAAGCAATTCAATCATTTCTGTTCCAAGAATCTCCTCCCACATAAGCCAACCACAACCTCAAATCTGCACCAAAGAATCACAAAATATATAATAGTAATATTAATAATTATCTCTAAGACTAGGTAATCTGAGGAGAAGAGCTCTTTAAAATGGTGATATGAATCAATATAGGAGTAGAAGAAGTTATAATTTTAGTACTTGTTTGCTGTTTTAGTTATGGAAGTTTTAGAGAGGGAGGAAGACGTTAGCCCTAGATATTCATTTCAAAGGAATGGATCATCATTGTCTTGTGTAGTTCCACCATTCTTGCTCATTGATAGCATCCCCAAAAAGAGCTTGTCTTATAACAAGCTACCTGAGGAACCCCTCAAGCTCACTGTCCTCAAATTGGATGGCTCTTCCTTTGGTAATTTTTCTTAATTTTCTCCTCTACTTGAATTGTGCAATTGATCTTTGTTGTGTATATGTAAATAAATTTAGAGTCGGTGTGTTCAATTGATACTGAAATTGATGTTTGTACACCCTTAGAATATATGTGTGCGCGTGTTTCTTTCCTTGTTTTTCCTTATCTTGTTTGAGTGTACATATATGTATATGGTTTTTAATCTTTTAATGTATATATAGAGTTCGAGTTAAAGGTAGTGGGACAATGGGTACTATCACACCCAATGCATACGGCCTAGATCTTCCCATTATGCGCCAGCATTGATGTATTATTTGATCAAATGGTCTGTGATCAATTGAATTTAGTGTTCTGCAGATATTAAAGTAACGAGGAATGCGACAGTGGCAGATCTCAAGCAGGCGGTGGAAGCTGCCTTTAGTCATTTGCCAAAGACGGGAACAGGCAAGGTTTCATGGTATGTGCATTCGCAAAGGATAATGCTGCAAATATAGAAAATAGAAAACGCGCAAGTATGTATGTGGGGTGGGAGTTGCGGGTAGTAGGTTCAAGGAGTTGTAGTTGAAAATTCATATATTAATTTCAGCAATTTATCGAACTAAGTACCATTGGGCATTTCCTACAATTCTGCAGGAATTCTGTTTTGTGTACATTACCAAGTGAAGTTTTGACATCAGGGCTTTCTCCCATGTCTTCTTTTAAAATGTGTTCCTAGGCAACAAACTAATAGCAATATAGCATGTAAAGATCTAAATTTTATCAACTAAACTTCTTCTGCGGTAACTTTTTCATGATTTCAACTTGATTCTCTTATGAACAATCGAAAAATATGACTCAGTTTGAAAGGAACTAACAGTTGAATGATGTTACTTTATATAAACTTGGTAGAATGTCATGGACGCCGATTTCTGTCTGACATAATATACCAGCTTTTTCACTATATATCACCTTGGCTAGTTCTTTCTAGCTCACTAATTTTATTGTGACACTGTTTGCAGGTCACATGTGTGGGGACATTTTTGCTTGAGCTATGACGGGAGGAAGCTACTTACTGATGGTGATTTGTTGGGAACCTATCGGATCAAGGATGGTGATAAGGTTTCTTCTCAATTCGTTGGACTTTCTAGGAAAATTGCTTTAATCTAATCTGTACATGGTTTTCTTGTGTTCGCTTGTTACTAATGCACTGGAATATGCAATCTGTTAATAGGTGATTATAGGATGAGGAAAACCACTCCAATTATTTTCAACCTATCAAATTTTGGAGAAACTTAATAATTAGATAAATTTGGATAGTTGCATTGTAGGAGTGTTGGTTTGATATAGGATCTGTTTGGAAAGTAAGAAGCCACTAAGCTCCTTTTGATACATCTTCATTAGCAAATAATTCTCATGTGAAAACATGGCCATTTCTTGTTCACTAAAAGAGGTGAATAAACTCCCAAGAGAGACACGTAAAAAGCAGGTTCAATTACTCATGCCTGGTTAGCATGTAAGAAAGTTGATGTCACAGAGCTAGTTATGAGTGCCATTCAGTGACCTCAATCGAACAGAAAAATATCTACGATGGATTGTGGAGATCAACAATCTGGTATAAACTGTTGGAAATATCATGGAAATACACGAAAATTTTTCAAAGCTTGAGGTGTGCCAAAGACGATGTCCTTAAGGATATTTCATTTCATTATTAAGTGAAAAAGAGAGCTCTTCCTAATCGATGAGGGACACTTCCTCATCTAACAAAAACAGTATGTGGACAACAATTTCAGAGCATAATTGCAAGATTCTCCTCCAACAGCTTAGGATAAATTGGTTTACTAGAATTATTTAGTGCCATTTATGATGGTGTATTGACCAAATATAAACAGCTGATAGTTTATTTAGCCATTGTGGTTGTGTTTTGCTTTCTGAGTTTTAAGCAGTTTCTTTTCCACCCTGGGGTTAAGAAAAAAGATTAAAGAGCTGAATATTTGCAAAAGCAATAAAATCTGTTCATTACAAGTTAATCTTTTTAGAGGTTTCAGATGGATGCCTAGCTTCCCATCAGTTGATATTCATTCTTTTTCCTTAACAAAAGGGATCTCTGTTGCATGCTCGCTAGCGCAAGTGGGGCTGTTTGAATATTTCCTTAATGCTCTCATGATTGAAGTTTTTGCACATGCAGCTTAGTTTTACGAGGCATGTCTCCATTTGTTACAATCTGGTCAAAACACGATCGGAGAGAGAGGACCGCTGTGAAAATGAACCTAGTATGTAAGTTCTCTATATTGGCTTCATCCTAATTATTTTCTCAGTGGGTACTTGTTGGTTCATGATACTAATATTTCGCTTTACCCATGCCTTTTATGCTATTGCTCTGCTATCAAAGCGTAAGGTAGTATTTGAGTGGTTGGGGTGCGGGAGAAGGGTTCTCCAATTGGTTTATTGAACAACAAAAAAGACTAGGGATTTTCAGCCTCTTCATTGTGAGATTTTAGCCATTTGAGTATTTCAACGAATTGAATAGTTATTTACATGGAAGTGAGGAAAACATTAGCTAGCTGATGCACATACTGCATGATCTTTGAATTTTCAGTGCTAATTGGCAAGTGGCGACTCTGGAAACTTTCTCCTTCCTCCTGAAATTTCAGCTGAACCAGAAATGGTGTATATTCTGTCTTCTGCTTATTGCTAATTACGAAACAAATTCCCTATGTTTACATATGCCCAATAGTGCTACACAATCCTCCTTGTAACTTTAGCTCGAAGGACTTGTCATCCTTTTATAAGCAGACAGGGGTATATAACTTTTCCGCTCTTCCAGTGATGAAGTTATTTTCTTTTGGTTTTTTCTCCACAATGCTAAGTATATTTGTGACTTGGGCTAGCATAGTGGCATTGTGACTTATCAGAGCAGCTTAGATAAAACTATCTTGGAAAATGCATTTTGCAGATCCAAAGGCTGTGAAGCCAGACAGCGGAAAGGTCAACAAGAGGGTAATCACCGTCAAGATGACTTAAGGAACCATCAAAATGCTATTCATGAAAATAACAGGGGTGTTGTTACCAATTGCGAATCCAGGTTGGTTCATTTGTTTAGAGGGTGGTTCTCATACAAATTGGCGAGCCCAGACAGGAGAATAACACACAAAAGAAGTGCATCGAGATCAGAGTATAGTTTTCTTATGGAGTCCTAAAAGGTAACGCAGTTGCACAGTGATTACTGCAAGTTTCAAAAAGAGCCGGATAGCATAACCAGCATCATTCGAAATCTGGAATTCCAAACTGTTTGCGAACGTCAAAGAGAGTTGAAGAGTGAATTGGAAAGCATTCATCTCTAGGTGAACCTCCAAACTTTTGATTTTAGTGTCCAAACTGATTCTGCATAGAAGATTAGCACTCTTGCTAGCATCTTTTCCATTTCCTCATTTGCAGATGACAATTAGTTATGTACACATGATTTAGCTGAGGATTGGGCATGTAAGTCTTGGAATTGTGCAAAAGAAACTCTGATATTTGCTCTTGATGTACACCACTTTTCGGTTCAATGTAATCGAATTCTGATATTCGTCCTTTTGCCTTAGAACACAAAAAGCAAATCCATTGATTGTCAAGACTTGAACTTCTGTGATCTGGCTTGGGATCTCAACAGGTATTTGGAAAGAGTTTAAAATTGTATGCATTGAAGGTGTAAAAAGTTACTTACTACTATAAGATTAGGCGACTAATGAGGTAATTACAAGTAAATTCGTTGGATAATTGATAATCTAGTAAAAATGAGTTAATAGTGTATACAGCTTAGATCCAAGTAACAGAACAAGTAAATATTATTAACTTGTGGATAACAATTCTCAAACTCTTAGTCACTCCTTAGTAGTTCTACAATGATAATTGCCTTGAAGTTCCAACAACAACAAGAATCCACTAAAAATCTCACACGTGAGAGGTCTGGAGAGGATAGTGTGTATCAGACCTTACCCCTACCCCGATGGAGTAGAGCGGCTGTTTCCGATAGACCATCGGCTCAAGAAAATGAAAAAGACCTTGAAGTTCCAAGACTTTTCAAAATAAACTTACATTTAAATAAATCACTTATAGGTCACTCTGGGGTGAATCAAATCAAAAGACTATCAACTGAGGAAAATATTATTTTGTGTCTCATACAACTGACACTACTTGTATGAGGATCTTTTTGTCTCACAGTTTTGTGGATCCAGAAGTTTAAGATTGGGGTCCACAAATTTGTTAGAGAAAAGAAGTCTCGCACAACTAATGTCAATTGGTGAGGCATACAATAAGACTTCTCACCAACTAATAACAAACAATTTTGTGCATACTAAATCCNGGGGGTCTGTTTTAGAAAAAAAAAGATCTCAGCCTCATCATAATGTGTGGCATAGATTGAGATAGCCTTTCTGAGATTTTCCTTCTTCCCTTCTCAAAACACAACCCTAAAAAAATCAAGAATCACACCCTCTCAAAAAATAAGAAATTACCACAGCAAAATCCCAACTATCTACACTTCAAGAAGAACAGAAAAAGAAAAGCCATGACCAACATGATCATGGCCTCCTCCAAAGCCATAATCACTTCATCTCCATCTCCAAGATTCAAACTTTCCCTCCAACAAATCCCCCTTCCCAAAATACCCCTCCCCAAATTAACCAAATCCCTCAAACCCCTCTCCATCCCATCAAACCTCAAGTCCATTTCAGTAATTCTTGCTAGCTCATTGGCCATAGCACCACCTTCACTAGCAGAAGAAATTGAAAAAGCCTCCCTTTTTGATTCAGAATACTTTTTTTCCTATTTTTGCACTGTGCACGCCTGTGTGTGTATTTGTTGATCAAATGTCATAATTATTGAGTGCCTATATTTGCACTGTTCTTTCTTTNGATTCTTCCATTAAAGAGAAACTAAACAGTGTGAAGGACACATCTGCAGAAGTGAAGCAATTGGAAGATCAAGCTGCTGCAATTATGAGAGCTGCAAGAGCTGAAATATCAGCAGCATTGAATAAAATGAAGAAAGAGACTCAACTAGAAGTTGAACAAAAGATTGCAGAAGGGAGAAAGAAAGTTGAGGCTGAGTTACAAGAAGCTTTGGCTAGCTTGGATAAGCAAAAGGAGGAGACTATTAAGAGTCTTGATTCTCAGATTGCTGCTCTTAGTGATGAGATTGTCAAAAAAGTCCTTCCTGTTCAGTAACTAATTCTGAAAGTTGTAGTAGTATAATTTTTTTTTTTTAATTACTGTTTGATCAAAGAAATATAAATGTGATATACTTGGTCCTTTTATATGGTGAATCTCATGTAGTGCACATCATCTTTTACTCTTTTCTTGGTTTTACTTAGTAGAAATTTTTCAGGTTTTTTTAAAGAAGTTAAAGAAAGCTATAGCTAATAGCTCAAAATTTTCAGGTTTACTCACATTTGAAAGCTATAGCTCAAATTTTGCTTGTCAGTTGTACTTCTTGTAGTATTGAAGTAAAATAGGCATGAATAAAGTTTAATTGATCGATATAGAGAATTCATATTGTTTACCCTAAAAACGGATAACAATTGCATTTATGGAAAAGGGCCAAAAATGCTCCTAATCTATTGAAAATGGCTCACAAATGCCCTCCGTTAACCTTTAGGTTTAAATATACCCTTAACATTTTCTTTGAGTTCAAATATATCCCTGAAACTAACAATAAGATCCACCCATTATTTGTAAAAAAATTACACGGGTCGCCCTATTTGGTCACCCCCATTTAACCTATACCCATATTTTTAAAATTATTTAACCTATACCCTGATTTTTACAACTTCAGGCGCCTCCTTCTTCCTGCTACCTGTGCGCTCCTTTCTTCCTCCTTTCTTTTCCTCTTCTTCTTCTTCTTCTTCTTCTTCTTCTTCTTCTTCTTCTTCTTCTTCTTCTTCTTCTTTTCTCTTTCAAACACATGAGACTTTGTGTAAGTATATTGATTGAATATGAAATACACAGTGATTTAGCACTAAGGTTTGAATAGTGGTGTTTGTGGTTCGATTTGGATCGGTTTTTTCCTAAAAAGAAACCAAACCAAGTAAGTCGGTTTTTCAAATATTAGAAACAAACCAAACCAATTAAGTCGATTTTTTCTCGATTCGGTTTAAGTCGGGTTTTGTCGGTTTTTTCGGTTATTTGTCGGATTTTTCTTAAATATAAGACATACACTACCAAACACATATTCCGGCGACCACATTTTCAACGTAGCACTATCAAATCAATTGCCCTTTGAGAAATCTATTATTTACCAAGATATATTGATGATAATTGAATCAAATAGTGATGAATAATTTAAGGACTCAATTAAAAATATATTTTTTTAAACACGAAATGGATTCTTACACTTAACAAAAGAAAACTACCAATCAAACTAGAATGTAAAGGTAAACAACTATACTAAAAGTGCAAACTATTAACATTTACCATAAAACTTTTGAAACTTTGTATAAAATATACATATATATAGGTGTAATAATAAATTTGAAATAGCTACTCCTATAGTCGGTTTTTTTCGGTTTTTTCTGATTAAAACCAAAACCAAACCAAATTTGATCGATTTTTAATATTCAAAACCAAAATCAAACCAAACCAAAAAGTATCGGTTTTTGTGGTCGGTTTGGTTTGGTTTTCGGTTTGGTTCGGTTTTTCGGGTTTTTATGAACATCCCTAGGTATGAATTTTGCGTTAAGTACATCTGAAATTGCATTCCCCCAAAAAAGAATTAAAGATGGTTCTTCTTAATGCTGAATTTCCTGATAATTCTATTATAGCAACTAGATCTTAATGACAACTTGTCATTGTTGTTTTAGAACTTCAGCTCTAAGAATGCTGAAGTTCAGCAAATATAAACAAAAACTTCAGCTTCTAGAATGCTGAAGTTCAGCAAATACAAAACAAACTTCAGCCTTGAAGTTCATCACAAACATAATAAAGCTTCAGCTAAAACATGCTGAAGTTTAGCAAATATTGAACAAAACTTCAACTAAAACATGTTGAAGTTCAGCAAATAGAGAACAAAACTTTAGCTAGTAGAATGCTTAAGTTCAGCAATTACAAACAAAAACTTCAGCCAACACTTGGTTCAGCAATTTTTGCTACTTCAAGTCCGTCTACTAGAATGCTGAAGTTTGCGTGATTGCCTTTGCTACTTCAGGCCCGTATGCCTGAAGTTATGCGAAAAACTTCAGCTAAAACATGCTGAAGTTCAGCAAATAGAGAAACAAAACTTCAGCTACTAGAATGCTTAAGTTAAGCAATTACAAACAAAAACTTCAGCCAACACTTGGTCAATTTTTGCTACTTCAGGCCTGTCTACTAGAATGCTGATGTTTGCGTGATTGTCTTTGCTACTTCAGGCCCGTATGCCTGAAGTTACGCGAAAAGTGGGTACGCTTGCAATTTTTTTTTTGCAAAGGGGGTATAATTTAAAACGTGACCCAAAAAGCGGATATAGATGCAAATGCCCCATTCCTTCTTCCTGTTTTGCAACTACATTTTGTCTTCTTCAGTCTAAGTATGTTTCCTCCTTCTCTTCTTCTCCTTTCTTCCAGTTTCTTTATTATAATTTTCTGTTGTCTTTGCGTAAAAATTTATTTTTTGTGCAAGAATGTCCTAGAACTTTGCTTCCTCCCAAACAAAAGAACAAACATTATACTATCTTCATAAATATCCATGAATTCCAAGTTTTTCGTACATGCATTTTTGTACCCAGCCTAATAAATGATAACCATTCTATCGAGTTTTGGTCAATTCTATATTTTATAGTTAGCAGATTCATTAATTAAGGTGTTGACTTTAAAAAACAGAAAGAAAGAAAGACATAAAAATTGATGGAGTTGGCAAATTACATTCTTTATCATCTAATGTTTCTGAAAGTCAACTCCAAAATACCAATAAAACAAATAGTCAAAATAGAGGACTTTGAGCATGCTATTCATCACAAGTAGCGAGTCTTCCGTGAATGCTAAGCACCAAACTAACCCGAAATACTGGAATTTTTCTTCAGCTTGGCAAAAGGTAAAATACTATTCTCGGACAAAAGAAACAATTTTTTAGTACAAAAGATAAAAAAAAAAAAATTATGCAAAAATTATATGAGATTATGACAAAATAAAAGTGGAAGAAAGATAGGAAGGAGGAAATTTATGAAGAAGAAAAAAATGGAGTTGCAGAACACGAAGAGAGAAAGAGGGTCGTGGGTTTAATTCCTTAATAAATGATTGGGGTTATATTCGAACCGTTAGTTATAACAGAATTCCGTTAGTTTTAAGGGTATATTTAAACTCAAAAAACGTTAAGGGTATATTTAGACTAAAAGGTTAACGAAGGACATTTGTGAGCCATTTTCAATATGTTAGGGGTATTTTTGGCCCTTTTCCATTTTTTTTACTCAACCCAGTTGTGACGACCCGGTCGGTCGTCTCATGAGTTACTGCTCCGTTTCCCCCATTTCTGCTTTTACTTGCTTTGTTTATTGGTTCTATAGGTGATCGGGTTGGTTGGCTCGGGTTCAGAAAGGTTTTGAGAAGGTTTGAGACACTTAGTCTCTTTTAAGAAAGCTTAAGTTGGAAAAGTCAACTGGATGTTGACTTTTGTGTTAGAGGGCTCGGATGTAAGTTCCGATGGTTCTGATAGCTTCGAGAGATGATTTGGGACTTAGGACCGTGATCAGAATGTGTTTTGGAGGTCTGGAGTAGATTTAGGCTTGAATTGGCGAAATTGAGTTTTTGGTGTTTTCCGGTTGATAGGTGAGATTTTGATATAGGGGTCGGAATAGAATTCCGGAAGTTTCAGTAGTTTCGTTATGTCATTTGGGATGTGTGTGCAAAATTTTAGGTCATTCGGACGTGGTTTGGTATACTTTTTGATCAAACGCGGATTTCGGAAGATTTTAGAACCTTAGGCTTGAATTCGATGTGTTTTGGTTGTTTAGATGCTGTTTGAGGTGTTTTGAAGATTGGTATAAGTTTGAATAAGGTTATGGATTATGTTTGTGCTTTTGGTTGAGGTCCCGGGGGCCTCGGGCTGATTTCGGATGGTTGACGGAGAGTTTGGAATTTTTGAAGAAAGCTGCAGATTTTCTGCTTCTGGTATTTCCGCACCTGCGGATTGGGGACCGCAGGTGCGACGCCGCAGATGCGGAAGATAGGTCGTAGAAGCGGAAAATGGCTGGGAAGGCAGGAAGCGCAGAAGCGGTTGTGGGATCGCATCTGCGAAGGCGCAAGTGCGGAATGTTCATCGCAGATGCGGAAAATTGGGACTTAAGTGAGGACCGCAGATGCGGTGGTCTTGACCGCAGAAGCGGGAATTTGTCCGCAGATGAGAAATTCCTGGGCCAGAACATATAAGTTATTTCCTTCGCGATTTTCAGAGTTATTCCACCATTTTTAGTCGGTTCTTGGAGCTTTTGAGGCGATTTGAAGAGGGATTCAAGGGGAGCTCATTGAGGTAAGGATTTTGGACCTAAAAGCTCGTTTCTATGGTATTAATTTCGCGGATTAGAGCTGTAATTAAGAGTAAAATTAGAGAAACTAGGGCTTAGAAACCTAGGCCTTTGATTGAGGATTTGAAAGACCATTTGTGGTCGGATATTGGAACTTTTGATATGTATGAACTCGTGGGGAGATAAGGAATCTAATGATGTGAATTTTATCGAATTCTGAGATGTGGACCCAGGGGCCGGGTTTTGGTAATTTCGGGATTTGCATTATTTTTCGATTATTTTCGAGTGGGCTTCGTCCCTTTAGCATAATTTAATGGTTACGTTCTGATTTTGGTAGATTCGGAGCATCCGGAGGCCGATTCGAGGGGCAAAGGCATTGCGAGCTAGATTTTGGGCCGGATTGAGGTAAGTAATGATTTTAAATGCTGTCCTAAGGGTATGAAACCCCGGATTACACAGCGTTCGACTATATTGAGGTGACGCACACGCTAGATTACGAGCGTGGGGTCATGCACCGTTGGGATTGTGACTTTGTCCATCCCGTATGGTTGTTTTACTACGTATTTGTTTTCAAATTGTCTGATATTATCATGGTTTGGGCTAAATGCCATATTTGGGCTTCGTGCCAACTATTTAAACTCTTAGGGGATATTTACTACTATTTTCCTCACTGTTATGACTCTATACTGTACTCAGTCATGATATATTTAACCATTTTCACAACTAAGCCATGTTTACTCTGTTTTAACACTTTAAATGATATTTTAAAAAGATATTTTGAGCTAAGTATCATGTTTTACTGTTGCCCGAGGGGCTTATGAGATTCTGACTGAGTAAGGCCGAGGGCCTGTATTGTGAGGATA